TAATAGTATAATCGGAGTCTTAGATCAAAAAGGAGGTGAAAATGAAAAACTTTATAAATAACTAATGGCTGACAATTCCCAAATTTTAAAAAGGACACAAATCTATAGATTCAAGAAGTGAGCAAATCTCAAACAAGATAAATCTAAAGAAATCCCTACCAAGACACACCACAGTCAAACTTCCAAAAACTAAAGACAATGAAAAAAATCTTAAAAACAGCAAGAGAAAAACAATACCTTACCCACAGGGCAAAAGCAATTCAAACAACAGTGTATCATTTATCCGAAACCATAAAGACCAGAGGGAAGTGCTACAACATTTTCAAGTGTTGAAAGAAAGGTCGATTCAGAATCCTATACCCAGTGAAATATATTGTTTAAGAATGAAGGGGAACTCAAGATATTCTCAGACAAAGGCAACTATTTGCAGAAGCCATACTGTCTACACACAAAATTCAAAGGGATCTACAAAAAATCTTTAGTAATAACTGAGGTCAGCAATGTGACAGGATAAAAGATGAACATACCAAAATCAATTCTATTTCTATATACTAGCAATGAACACGTGGACACCAAACTATAAAAAAAAAGTTACGAAGGTAGGGAGGAAAAGAAGGAGGGAGCAAGGGAGGGAGGAAGGGAGGAAATCTAACAAAGTATATAATGAACTTGTGTGCTGAAAACTACAAACACTGATGATAAAAGTTAAAGATCTAAATAAATGGAGTCAACATATTCATGAATTAGAAGACGATATAATTAATATCTTAATATTCTCCAAATTGAGAAACAGGTTTAATGCAATTTCTATCAAAATCCCTGCAAGATATTTGTAGATATCTACAAGATTATTTTAAAATGTATATGGAAGGACAAAAAAAAAAGAAAAAGAATAGCTAAAACAATTTTGAATAAAAGCATGAGGAATTGTTCTACTAGATTTCAAGGCTTATTAAATAGTTTCAGTAATCTAGACTGTGTGGTATTAGTAGAAGAATTAACACATACATCAATGGACTAGAATAAAGAACTCATTAACAGACCCACAGAAGTGTGGCCAACTAATTTTGACACAGGTGCAAAAGAAATTCAATGGGTAAAAGATAATCTTTTTAACAAATGGGGCTCCAGCAATTAGATACTAATATAAAAAAAAAAAACAACAACTTTGACCTAAACCTCACATCTTACACAAAAAATAACTCAAAATGGATGATAGATTTAAATGTAAAACTATAAACCTTTTAAAGAAAACATAGGACAAAATCTTCAGCACCTCAATCTGTCCTTTCACTGTATCATAGTATCCTTTCATGCACAAAATTTTAAATCTTGATGTCTAATTTATCTATTTTTTGTTTCAGGGCGTGTGCTTTAGATGTGGTATCTAAGAAATTCTGCCTAATCCAAGATCATGAAGATGTACACCTATGTTTTAAGAGTCATATAGTGTTAGCAATTACATTTAGGTCTTTGATCCATTTTGAGTTAATTTTGGAATATGGTATGCAGTATAAGTCTAATTTCATTCTTTTTAATATGGATATCAAGTTGTTCCAGAATTGTTTATTAAAAAGAATATTTTTACTCATCATATTATCTTGGCATCTTTGTCAAAAATCAGTTGGTCAATAACTCATAGGTTTATTTCTGGATTCTCAACTCTATTTCAAGTATCTATACTTGAAGGTACTTGAAGTACCAAGGTTATATATATAACCTTACATCAGTATCCCACAGTCTTGATTACCAGAACAAGTCTTCCAACACATTTTTTTTTTAATTTTCCAAGATTATTTTGCTTAAAAAAGCCGGCTAGGAACTTGATAGGAATTGCATTGAATCTGTAGAACGATTTGGAGAGTATTCCCATGTTAACAATATTAAATCTTCAAATCCGTGGACATGGGATGTCTTTCCATTTATTTAGGTATTCTTTACTTTTTTTTATTAAGGTAAAATTTACATATAACATGTTAGTTTCAGGTGTACAACATAATGATTCGATATTTGTATATATTGAGAAATGATTACCACAATAACTCTAGTTAATATCCATCACCATACATAGGTTACAAAATTTACTTTTCTCGTGATGAAAACTTTTAAGATTTACTCTCTCAGCAATTTTCAAATATACAATACAGTATTAACTATAGTCATCATGCTGTCCATTGCATTTAGGCATCCTTTACCTAAATTATATTTAGGTATTCTTTAACATATTTGAACAACGTTTTGTAGTTTTCAGGGTAGAGATCTTGTACTTCTGTTAAATTTATTCTCATGTATTTTATTCTTTTTGATGGTATTATAAATTGAATTTTGTTAATCTCATTTTTGGAATATTTGTAGTGTATAGAAATCAACTGATTTTTAAATATGCATCATGTATCCTGCAAGCTTGCTGAACTTATTTATTAGCACGAATACATTTTTTGCGGGTTCCCTGGGATTGTCTATGTACAGGATCATGTCATGTGTAAACAGAGACAGTTTTACTTCTCTTACAATCGGCATGTCTTCTTTTTCTTGCCGAAATGCTCTGGCTAGAACTTCCAGTACAATGTTGAGTAGACGTGACAACAGTAGATATCCTATCCTGTTCTTGAATTTGTGGGGAACGCCTTCAGTCTTTCATCATTAATGCATGGTGTATTTTTTGTAAAAGTCTCTCAGGTTGAGGAAGTTCCCTTCTAGTCCTAGTTTATTGAGAAATTTTATTATGAGACAGTGTTGGAGTTTGTCAAATGCTTTTTCTGTGTCTATTGAGATGATCATGTGGTGTTCATTCCTTATTCAATTAACATGTATATTATATTGATTAATTTTCATATGTTGAACCAACCTTGCATTTCTGGGATAAATCCCACTTGGTCACAATACCTTATGTTATGGCACTGAACTGTTTTATAGTATTTTGTGGAGGATTTTTATGTCTATATTCATACAAGATATGCTGGTCTGTAGTTTTCTTGTGAAATCTTTACCTGGTTTTGGTATTAGTATAAAAACAGTCTCATAGAATTAGTTTAATATAGGCATGTACAGCTATAAATTTCCCTCTGGGCATTGTTTTTGCTGTATCCTGAAGTTTTGCTATGTTGATTTTCCTTTTAATTCACAAAAAATATTTTCTAGTTTCCCTTGTTATTTCTTCTCAAATCCTTGGTTATTTAAAAGTATATTGTTCAATTTCCTCATGTGTGAATATCCCAAATTTTATTCTGTTATTGATTTCTAGTTTCACTCTATTGTGGTCAGAGAATATACTCTGTATTATTTCTATCATTTTAATTTCAATTGTGACTCATTTTATCACCTAATACATGGTTGATCCTGAATAATGTTCCATGTGCACTTCAGAAGACTATGTACTCTGGAGAAATGTCTGTTCAGGTCTTTTGCCCATTTTTTAATTGGGTTGGTAGTTCTTTTGTTGTTGAGATGCATGAGTTCTTTATATATTTTGGAGATTAAGCCCTTATCAGATGTATGGTTTGCAAATATCTTCTCCCAATTGTTAGGTT